AAAAAAAGGATTTGATGATACTGAAAATGAGGAAAAGATTAAAAATGCTATAAAAAAAGGATTTGATGATACTGAAAACTATTTTAAAGCACTTGACGTTAAGGGTATAAAAGGAAACAAAGTTCGAATGTCCGGTACAACGGCACTAACGGTTATGATGACGCCTAAAAAGAATTTATATATTGTAAGATTATTAATAACATTTGTTATTATTATACACAGAGATGAAACTCGCGCTGAATTTTGGTTAAATTCGCTATGCAGGTCACATGAGGGTGAAGTCGCGTTAATATACAAAAAAACACTATGTTAGCACGGATTTCACGATCAAAGCGAGTTTCACTAGAATTCAGCACGGGTTTCATCCTGACATATTATTATTATTATCCCGGTATTGATTTTTTTCTTCGGAAATAATCAGGCATTTGCTGGAGACTCTTCTGTATTTATTATGTCATCGAATAAATCAAAAAAGATTAATATAGAACATAATTGTCACAATAAAAGTATGTAATTAATCCAACTTGAAGAAATGTTTATTTGTTGCGGGCTACAGTTAGTATTTTAATAATAGATTATTGTTTAATTTATTTAGATGAATTATCGAGACTTAGATCTCAAAGACAAAAGGGTTTTATGTATACTATAAAAGCACGTTCGGGTCACAAATATTTGAGAGGCAAGTATTACAGTATAACGATTATGTTTAATATACGCCAATTATTAACTTAATAAATTTTTTATTAAAGTAAAAGATGATTTATCTAATGAAATACAATATACTCGCTCATTAAGTGATTTTTATATTAAAAGCTTTTTTTCAGAGGGTCTAATTGGTATTATTAAATTATATATGTAAATATGGTATACAAGATGGTGAATAAAATATTTTGACACCTTTTTAAACTTCGCTATGTTTATTCATATAATTATCAACTGTTTTTGATTAGGCTTAAAAAAGTGCCGAAATATTTTTATTATCCGGCAGCTTACTATGATCGTACCACCAGAATAATTCGAGTTCTTTTGGTGATAATTGCATCATCATCAAATAACTTCGTTATTGATAATGATGCAATTATCACCAAAAGAACTCGAATTATTCTGTTGGTTCGGTCGTCGTAAGCCACTCGATAAAACCGTTATTGGATGCTATGTACGCGGCCATATAAAATGAATCATCTTGCAAATAATTCTGTTATTGGCTGCTTCGCATCCAATAACTATATATTATTCGCCTGTATATACCTCTAGTTAAACATATACTTATTAAGCTGGAATTTATGTTTTAATATTAATAGCTGAACCAGAGATAATTGATAAAGTTTATCCTGCATCCAGTCTTGATTTACTTGTGCTTGCTTCTGATGGTATAATTCATATCCTTCCTATATTATATTTTTTTTTCATACATATATCTAACGATTTAAAATCTTATATAAACAATTAGGTATCACGGATCGTTTCAAAATATTTAAAAGACATCCTACAGAAATTTATTTAAGCTATCTAAAAAAACATAGAGGGGATCCAGATCGATTTATCAAAGCCTGTGATGGATTGATTAAATTGTGTGACGTTATAACGGAAAAGCGTATTTGTGTTGATGATATGTCTATTATAATTATTATAATTTTGAATGGAAAGTCTGAAGATGAATGGTGTCGTACTGTTACGAAAAATGCAGAGGATCCTGAAAATTGGACTAATATAAATGATGATGAAGATTTATCAGAAATCGATGATCAGGACATTTACGACAAAAATTCTAATGAAGTTGATGAATTTTTAGTTTCAGTACCATTATCAACAATACCAACTGGATATTACGATGAAGACTCTGCAATGAATTTTTCTATTTCTGATGATGATGATTTTGACTGAATTATCTTTTTCTTTTATTATATAACAAAAAGTAATTTAGGTTTAAGAATCTTAAGTTACCTTTATTAAAATAGAGCCTATTTTAGGTGCATATGTTACATTTAGGTTAATAGCATAAAAATTATTTTTACCTAGAATTCTATAATTAAGGCTTTTGATCTGAATTTTATGCTCGACCTTGAGATGTTTTCAATATTAATAAAATTAGTTGTAAAATACATTCTCAATACATTTAAATTTTTGACTTAACTAGACAATATTCTAATATAAAAAAGCTAAAAAAAAATACTGCAAGAATGTCTCTTCTTTTAAGATAAAGTAGTTTTAACCTTGATTAATTTCTTAAGCCAACATCACAACTAATTTAAATAACGAAATATCAATTAAGATTGTGTACAATGCAACATTTTGTTAAAGCTTTAACGGTAATAAGACCTCGGATATCCAATTGCCTAGCCACTTGTTAATGTGTGAGGCGCACTGATGAGAGAAGTCTAACTTACATCAATTTTTTTTAATAATTTAAAATTGCAACAAAATTTAATTGCGCAATGCATATATACTGTCGCTAAAAAAAAAAAATAAAAAATAAAAAACGATAAAAACAACCAATCAGGTTCAATCTTATAAGTAATGATCAGCAAAACATAATAATAGCAGAAGTTCGTTTTGATTGGTTGTTAAGATACCCCGGAAAAAATGTCGATCATACCCCGGATAGAGTACCGGC